GTTCCAGTTACTGAGGCGGAGTGTCGTGAAGATGGCTGTCAAAAGTGCATGGAGTTGAGAGTGTATCTCAGAAAGTGGTGGAGGCAGGTTGATTCCCGTCCTCAGCAGCAGTCCAGGCTGATCCCAACATCTTTAACAGCCCCAAATCCAGACACTACCATTGCTCCTACTGTTGAGACAACCACAGCAGATACAACAGATACTTTGCCTGAGCTTGACACTGTTGATTCTCAACCTCCGCCTTCCGATCTTAATCTTCTAATTGCAATTCATAAAGGGAAGCGCCGTTGTACCTCATCCACTACCCATTGTATCTCCAAGTTCCTTTCCTATGATTGTCTCTTAGAATTCTATAGATCTTATTTGGCATCTATTGCTACTATTCCTATACCCAGAACAATACAAGAAGCTTTATCGATACCTGAGTGGAAGGAAACGATGAAAGTAGAAATGGATGCTCTTGTTAAGAACAATAAATGGGAACTAGTAAACCAGCCTGAGGGGAAGAAACCTATTGGATGCAGATGGATATTTACGGTAAAGTATAATGTTGATGGTTCTGTAGAGAGGTATAAGGTTAGACTGGTTGCAAAGGGATTCACACAAACTTATGGCATAGACTATATGGAAACCTTTGCACTAGTTGCAAAGATGAACACTATCAGAGTCCTATTATCCATTGCTGCAAACTTCTCTTAGCCACTATTTCAGATGGATGTGAAGAATGCTTTCCTCAACGAAGACTTACAAGAAGAGGTGTACATGGAGTTATCCCCTGGTTTTTATAGTATAGAAGCATGAAGGAAAGTTTGCCTACTGAAGAAGGCTTTATATGGGCAGAAACAATCTCCGAGAGCTTGGTTTGACAGGTTTAGAGTAGCTTTGGAAAAATTTGGTTACACATAGGCTCAGTCAGATCACACTCTTTTCTTTAAGAAAACAAAGTCTTCCCTGACCCTATTGGCTATCTATGTGGATGGCATTGTGATAACAGGTAGTGATACTGGGGAGATTGAATCACTTAAACAACATCTTCACAAGGAATTTGAAGTTAAGGACTTAGGAGAATTGTGCTATTTCCTGGGAATTAAGGTAACTTGAAGAGATGCCCAGGGAGAGGCATACTCTTCAAAAATAGTGGTCACATGAAAATAGAGGTATATACAAATGTGGATTGGGCTAGATGTGTTGATGACAGGAGGTCTACCTCTGGATACTGTGCATTTGTGGGGGGGAATCTTGTTTCTTGGAGAAGCAAGAAACAAAATGCTGTTGCTCGTTCCAGTGCAGAGGCTGAATACAGATCCATGGCCAATGGTGTTGCAAAAATGCTATGGCTAAAATCCTTGCTTAATGAACTGGAAATTGATTAGCCTTTGATGTTGTATTGCGATAATCAAGCTGTAATTAATATTGCCCACAACCCAATATAGCATGACAGGACTAAGCATATCGAGGTGGACAAACATTTTATCCGAGAGCGAGTTGCATCTCAAGAAGTGTGCCTTCCTTACATTGTCTTAGAGATGCAGTTAGCTGATCTCTTCACCAAAGCAATCACAAAAATCAAATTGGAGACAGACTTACGCAAGTTGGGCATGATAAATATCTACTCCCAACTTGAGGGGGAGTGTAGAGATAGTTAGCAACTTTGAGTGTGTGGTTCCATACCCACATTTAGTTATTTTTTATCCTTTTTTATGTTGGGCCGGCTGGCCTTGTTTATCCTAGTTTATGCTTTTGTTTAAGTTTTATTCTAAATAGGATTAGAGTATGATTTTTTATTCTAAGTAGGATTAGAATAACTCCTATTCTTGTAAGGAGATTAATCTATATAATAAAAATTATGGCGTGGCAGAATCTATCAACCGAACCCCTTTCTTCTCTCTTCTCTTCTCTTTTCTTATCCTCTTCTTCTTCTCCTCTTCTTCTCTTCAAAGCCTAGTTATTCCTTTCTTTTCTTTTCTTTTCTAAATTACAGTAGAACAGAAATCTACTTGCTTTTGTTCAAGTGAAACCACTATGTCATGGGGCTAGTCGTTTGGGCCCCGTGCGGCACTCAAAAGTGACGAGTAAGCCTAAGCAACAAGTAACAACACAAGAAAAGGCAACAAGATTGCACACAAATTAGTCAAAAGGCACTTTGTATTGCATAAATTGGTAGCAAGCACAAGTACACAGTTTAGTGTCGAGGGGATGTCGTGCTTAACATTTACACGCTACTAATTCACTCGATTACCTACCATCCCTCAAAGAGTATGTTAAGCTTTTGGGGGAGTGACAATAAGAAACATGAAAATGGTGAAAAATCATACTAAGGAATTATATGCTTTTATTAAAACAATAAACACAAAGACATCTATGCCCCTGCCGCCCAACACACATCTTAATCAATAATAACATAAATAATAATAGGCTTAGTAAGGCCCAAAAAGACTAATAACAAGGCCCAAAAGACTACTGACAAGTAAATAAAAGAAAAGACAACTGATAACGTCAGGGACTTCACTAAAATACTAAAGTACTAGTCTATTTCTCCACAATAAAAATGACAGATATACCAACCAAACTGTCAACAAAGCTAACCAAAAATAACAATTTGGGATCCTACTACAAAAAACATACAAATTCATAATATATTCACATTTTGCCCTTTTTTATTTTTATTCTTTTTTTTAACAATAACAGAAATCAATATTATTAATAGTAAACAAGATTACATACAAGATTTTAGGGAGAGATAAAATGTCTTAACTCTTCCAAATAAGTAAAAGGAAATTACATTATTGCCTAAAACAATTGATCCCTTCCCACCCCCTATTTTGCCAAGTTATTAGCAAAGGCATTTGCAGTTCTCTTCACCCAATGAATCTGAATTTCTACTCCCCTCATTAACCACTTGGCCCCTCTCCTCTCATTAGCATAGATCCAAAACCCATTACCTTCCCTTACCCAATTTAACACTAGCTTTGAGTCTCCCTCAACGATCAACTTTTGAATGTTCAGCTCCTTTGCCTTCCTAAAGCCTATCAATAAAGCAAACAATTCAGCTCTAAGAGAGTTACCCAACTTAATGGGACCTGAGTGCAACAAGACCACCTTCCCACTTTCATCTCTGATTACTCCTCCAACACTTGATGATCTTGGGTTGCCTTCACTACTCCCATCAAAGTTTAACACTTTAACTTCATACACCCCCGGGCTGGAGGCGACCGCAAAGGACACACCACTGACTGAGCCAGCACAGAGGATGCCACTTCATTCCAATTGCTCAGCAGCATAATCGTGGAGACATCAGTAAACAAATCCAAAGTATCAACCATTGCATCACTTTGATTGTTATGATCTCAATCAGCTCTTCTTTCTTTCTTTCTTTCTCAGAAAAGGTTCTTAGGTTCCTTTCTTCCCACAATGTCCAACAGATGGCAGCTCTTATGAGGCTATATTGTTATGTTGTTATAATCAGACAGCCATGAATATTGCTCAAAATCAAATCAGCCTCCACTCCAATTTCCTGCAACAACTGCTTCTACCAAACAAACTCACAAGTAGTGTGAGTCATCACCTTGTATTTTGCTTCGCCACTGTGTTTGGAAATAACACTCTATTTCTTACTCATCCAAGAATCAAATTTCCCCAAGAAAGGTATAGTAGCTTATGGTGCACTTCTTAGTTGTTACTGATTTTGCTCAATTTGCATCTAGATAACCTTCTAAAGTCAACTCTCTGCTTTTCTTGTTCAACAAACCTCTAGCTGGAGAACCTTTTAGATAATGTAGAACTTTCAAAATACCTTCCCAATGAGTGGTTCTAAGATTCTGCGCAAATTGACTGAGCATTCCCACACTAAATGAGATGTATAGTTTAGTGATAGTAAGATAGATAAGTTTTCGCACCATCCTTGTATCTTCTTGGATCATCCAATAACTCCCCCTCACTATCAGTTACCTTAGTGTTCGGGTCAATAGGAGTTTCAATTGGCTTAACCCCTAGTAACCCTGTTTCTCCCAACAAATCAAATACATACTTCCATTGTAAGAGGGAAATTGCATACTTCGACCTTGGCACCTCAATCCCCAAGAAGTATTTTACCTGTCCCAAGTCCTTGATTTGAAATTTGTGCTACAAAAATTGTTTCAATTCATCAATCCTCAAGGGTTGAGAATATGTATCTAGGCAAGGATATTTTGTCTTTACCTCTTATTTGTTTTCAGATGCCTAGTTAAGGGTAGTCTTGTAAGTTTTTTATCACAATATAATTAGATCTTTTTGGGGTGTGAACAATAACTTAACCTCCTTTATTCATAACATCTCTCTTTTCTTTTCTCCTCTTTCTTCTCTTCACACTTTTCACAACTTTACAAACTTGTTGATATAGTGTTTCCACTCACGCTTGATTGGTTGTGAAGAGTGCTTCTCTAAGAAGGGCCTTTCGTGATGGCTACATGATCTTCCTTTAGAGATTGAATCCAAGTGCACAGTAGAGAGACAAAAAAATTGTTTTCCTTACTTTTCTCTTTTGCACTTGAAATAGAGTTGGAGTTTGCAACTGCTTATGATTACTTGCAATTCTCAAGTGTGTTTGTAAGTCAGAAAGAGAGAGCTTCTTCTCCCTAGGTATTTCTATTTATAACCTACAGTTAGGGCTGCCACCTCAGCCCACTTTCTAACCAATCCCATGTAAGTGTTAGGGTTAACTACTATACATGCTCCATTAGATAGGAGTCAATGGGATTGCCTAAGGGCCCACCTTAGTACAATAGGGCATGGGCATAAATGGGTTTGGTACACTTGGATTCTTGGGCCATGGGTCATGCTCACTTAGACTTAGGCCTTGGACATATGAAGGCCCTTTTTATGGCCCATTTGTAAGAAAGAGCCATTAGTGGGTTCTTAAAAGAACCTTCAAATAACAAAAATCTTTCTGTGGCATTTTTTATTAAACTCACCAAGTGCAAACTGCAGAGAAATGGAATATAATAATATAAAAAAGTACTCACAAGGTTTGAAGTTTGGTCCAATTCCCAATGAAATCAGGCATCCTCCCAGATATGCTGTTTCCATCTATCCTACTGCATGATGTAACCAAACTTAATAATATGCATTTGGAAAATGACAGATGTCAGAATTAGTAGAATTCACTTACAATTCAGTCAAGTTCTTTAGATTTCCAAATGTTTCAGGTATAGATCCCGTAATATTGTTTGCAGAAATAACACTGCATGATTGAGAAAGCAATCTATGTGAGGTTGTTTTTAACAATAACAATTAGTGTTGATTATGATGATGCTGATGATGGAATCATTGATAGCAAAAGAATTAGAAATTAAGAAAGATACATAAATTGGGTCACAAGGACCCACTAAGTAACATTCACCACACAATGCTTTATAAAACATGCATACTCTAGCATGTATAAAATTTCTGTGCAAACCAGAGATGGGGGAAATTAAAAAGCACAAAACAGAAATAAGGGCCCATTCTAGCTAGAGAAGAGAGAGAATTGAGAAGATAGGAACCCTCATATCCTCTTCCAAAGTCAAGAGACTTCACACTGCACATATATCCCTAAACTGTTGACAACTTCAAAAATACACAGTAGATTACTGAAAAGATAATCATTCTACGGAATTAGTTTTCTAATATATACTGGCATGGAAGGAACATGAACAAATCTATATTTTGTCTTTGAGATTGACTCTAATCCTGCAATAACGTCAAAAACTTGCAAAATCATAGGGAGAGTGATGGCATGTGAAGTGTTAGTCATGGCTCGTAGGGAGAGTGATTCTTTAATTGCTCATACTAGATCATGGACCACTTGAACAGGTTGTTCATTTAAACCCTATTTTGGATATAAAGTTCTTCACTAAATGTTGATACAACTATAAATACCTGACAATATGAGAACAAAGGATTGAATTGTGATAAATCTTCAGTAATTTGATACTCTTTCTAATCAGATAAGAGATAGCATCAACATACAATAATTTGATACTCATTCAAATCAGATAAGAGATAACACCATCATGCAACAGCTAGTGTCCTCACATACATTTGAATCCAAGAAAAAGCTTTTTGAGTTATGCACCATGGTGATTTTTAATGGAAGATAGCTGATGAAAAATGCATACTTTGTTGATTGTAGGAGTACCATCTCCAATTACTTAACATCCCATGAGATGGAAAGATGTACATTTATGCTTTACTCGGTCCCTCTCTTTGGAGCTGTTAACCAATACAAACACTGACAATATCATCTCAATTAATAGTTGGTGTGACTCCAAATTTCTCTCATTTTAACAGATTTACAACACCTTTGTAAATCACCATGTAGCCACCCAATGATACAACTATACAGTATTTGGATGGAGAATATGTTTCCAAAGACTTAAAATCTTATCTCTAATCTAATTTTGTAGAAAAGAACTGGTCACAACATTTTATCTATGATTCCCAGATACAGATGTGAACATGGATATGGGTATGGATATTGATGCAGGATCAAAGAAGCAAAAGCTGGAATATTTTGAGTATTTTATGTATTTTTGTGTTCTTAGACAGTTGGGATATTTGGGTCTTTTTATACAGTCTGTGGGGTCCAGCATAATAGTTTGATTTGTCTAGTTTTATTTTACTTGTATTCAAAATTTCAGAGACATCGGTTAATTAGTTTAAGAATTATTTAGCTTTCTTATGACAGTGACAATTCTCTGATTTTCATTTTTCCTAGTTTTACTAGATTGGCCACCCTATAGTATCAATAAATATATGTATAGAGTGCAAAAATGAGGATGGTGAATGAAAGAATATTACTTAAAATCTTAAAGCTGCCAGTGAAAAATTTTGAAGCAACTCCAGATAATTACACATATAGACCAGTTTGAACCAGAGCTGATCAATAACCATCAGATAAGGAGCTGCCAAGATCAGAGTGAGAGGTGAAAAGACCATGTTTGATGGGTTGTAGTTTGAATTCTTGGAGAGACAGCATAACTGTTTGACCTGGGAACTGGTTGTGATTTTGGGTCTGGTTTTGGACTGGACCACTTTTTGAAAAAAAAAAAACGTTGAATTGGTCAGAGAACTGCAGACGTGGATGGTTGGACAACTAAACCGTTCAACCAGGGTAGTTGTTCGCGGTTTAATAAAAAATATTTAATTTTTTTAAGATTATTAACAAAGAGAAAAAGGATATTGAGAGATGAGGAACCGAGACAAGATCTCAGATCTGAGAGAGAGAGAGAGAAGCAAAATCTCAGAAGTCAGATCTGAGATCAGAGAAAGGGAGAGCCATCGTCATTGCCGGTGTTAAGTCCTTAATTTTGCTTGACTAGGAGCATGTTATTAAGCTACTCCCAATCACAGCTTAAAGAAAAAAAAAGAAAAAGGGGCTTTCTTTCCAACTTGAAATTTTAAGCCCAGTCAGTCCTATGGATGGGATGAAATAATTTAAGAAAGAAAGGGGGCTGCAGTCCAGTTTAGTGAACAGCAGGCCCTAAGTTAATTGGGCCTTATTTGTAATGCAATAAGCATTTAATGGGCCTGTAGTAGAGCCCATTTAATGGGAAAGCAGGCCATAAAAAAATTTATTTGTGTTAATTCATAATTTTGTGAGTTGTCACACTTATTTATAAAGGGGATGCTATTTGTTCTACTCTAACAAGAGGGTTATTTTCCCTCCTTTAACCATTTGAAGTGGGGGGACACATGTCACCTTAGGGAAGAGAGTTATTTTCCCTCCTCTAACTATTTTAAGAGGGGGACACATGTCACCCTAGGAAGAAGGATTTATTTTCCCTCCTTTAGCCACTTGAAATGGAGGGACACATGTGACCTTAGGGGAGAGTTATTTTCCCTCCTCTAACCATTTGGGGGGACACTTATCACCAAGGAAGAGTTTTCTTTTCTCTCCTTAACCCATTTTAAGTGGGGTGACACTTGGCACCCTAAGAAGAGAGGGGTGGGGAGTTACTTAACCACCTCCCTCCTCTATATAAACCCCTCTCCTACAAAGAGAAAGGGCTAATGCTATTCAGTTTATAGAATTTACAGCAACAAGAGATAAACCAAAGGAAAAAAGAAAAGAAGATTGTGGTTTGGAAGAAAAAGAAGGTAGGGATTGCAGTATTCCTCCTCTACCTCTTCATTATTATACTCCTACAACTTCCTTTATTAGACCTATGTCTTTCCTTATACTCCTTTCACATTTTCTTTCCTTATTGTTATTATTTTTTTTTTCTTTGTCCTTGTCTCATTTTTAATCATACATGAGGGAGATAACCATTTATAGCATTGTTTATGAAACTTGGTTGATTATGGTTTCTCACAGCATATTAACCTATGTGTGACGGGGAAAACTATCTACAACTTTGTTCATGAAACTTGGCTGATTATGGTTTCTCACATCATGATAATGCACAACCACAATTTAAAGGCCATTTGTAGCCTTATTGATGAAATATGACTATTTGTGATACTTATTTACTTGTTACGTATAAAAAGTTTGTTCATTTATATTTGTTGGCTTTCTCTCAAACAAAGAGGGAATATATACCAGAATTTTCTAAGAAAAATTCTGTAGAAAAATGATACTTAGTTTGTCTATTCATTTGTACTTCTAAATCAAAATCAAAAGGTTTTCTCTGCCCTTAGTAGAGATGTAATTAAGGGAACATCTACGTGATTCTTGAATGGGGCTTACCCAAATAACAAAAAACCCAGTTATTAGTCTAATTGGGTGAATTATGTCATGTGAGAAATTATACTAAAAATTTTTTCCACTAACAGCCAGTGGACGTCGCCTCCTTCTCCTTCTTCTTCGTCGTCGTCGTCGTCATCTTCGTCTTCGTCTTCCTTCCTTCCTTCCTTCCTTTCTTTCTTTCCTTTCCTCTGTCCTTTCTTTCCTTTTGTTGAAATCAGCTAGTTTCTCCTAGTTGTTTATTTATTTTTCTATTCTGTAGTGCCGCATGGGCACTTTTGTAATTTCTCTCTTGTTTATTATAAGTTGGGTCGCCCTAATATAAAAGTAAAAATAGCTGGCGCCGCCAAACACATGTTTTGAATCCAAATTCTCTTCTCTCTTCTCTCTTCTCTCTTCTCTCTTCTCTCTTCTCTCTTCCTCTTCTTCCTTCCTCCTCTCTTCCTCTCCTTCTCTGATATGTCTGGCCTGAAAACATGGTATCAGAGCAGGCCTTCTGAGATTAGAAAGTGTGTGGTAAAGTTTCCTTTTTTGGACTCTCCTTTCTGTGGATCGAATCTGATCAAGAAGCAGATCGGACTGATCTGAAGGGGGCTCTGCTAGTCTCCTTCTCTTCTCCCTTGGTCATGTGCCAAGAAACCCTTAAGAGGAAGGGAAATCTGATGTTGCGAGGATAAACCTATCTTCTGTGGATTGAGTGATCCTCTCTTGTACCCAGGTAAGTGGGTTTTTTTGGAGGTCTAGATGACCTCAAACTGCTAGGTTTCCTTGAACTTTGGATCGTCTGAACCTGGAATATTTTTTTTTACCCAGACAACTAGGCAGTGTAGGTCTAAATGACCTATAACTGTAAGACAGTGGTCAGCTACCTTCTTTGTTTCTGAACTGTCTTTCAGCAATGTATAGACAAGCTGATCTGTGTGGTATTCAAAAAATTTATGACTGAATCTGAACTGGGGACTAAACTGAATTAGGGTTTGAACCTTGACTGAACTGTGACTGAATTGGGGACTGAACTGACTGAATTGTAACTGGACAGAACAATAACTATTGTCCCATTCTCTTGCTCAAAACCTTGATGGTATCAAGGCAATAGAAGTTCCTTTAGGGACCGAATCTCCTTCACTCCTTTTCTCTTCCTTCTACATTTTTTCTTTCTCCTGAAGTTTTGCTAGATTGAAACCCTAATTTGTTTTTGGGGTACCAGAAAGGCTGCACTCCAACTTCCATGGTTTCTACCTTGGAAAGAGACCAAGAGAACCCTAAGTAGCTTCAGTTATGTCATATTAGGGGAAGGTGAAGAACAGTAGTCTAAGGACTGCTAGAGAGACATGAGTTTCAGGTCTAGTTTCTTGACAACAAGCATAAACGACATAGGAGGCTGCTACCTAAAATCAAAAGAACAAATATCTAGACCGTTATTGCAGGTTTTGGACTGTTCCTTTGCATCCAAAAGGTAAGCAGTCAAGTTCTGTTCGCTGGTTTGCAGGTGTTTTTGTTTCAGTGGTGAAGTATCC